ATTATAAATCAATATATGCAAATATTTAAATAACATCATTACATTATTATATTCATTATTATTATACAATTTTAATTTAAAAATTTAAAAAATATATATAAAAATATATTTATGTAAATTAATTTCACAAAAATAGTCATAATTTAAGGATAATTAAATCATTATGAATGGGTGAATTTTAACATTTCAGATATCCACTGATTAATGTTGTTCCAAATATTAAAATTTTATTATAATATACAAATTTTTAACATTGCGATGAATTTATTCTTTTTTTAGTCTTTTCTAATTTTCTAATTCTTTTCTATATTTTTTCATTTAAATGTAATAAAAATATTTTAATTATCTTTTTATCAAATTAGATAAATAAATAAATTTATATTAATTTTATGAAAGATAATTAAAATTGAAAATAATTATATAAAAATATTTTTATTGTAATTTAATATAAATTTTGTAAAAATATTGTTACAGTTATTCTAGCTGAAGCGATACCTCAACTGGGTTTGTTCATATCATTAGTCGGTGCAGTTAGTAGTACTGCTCTAGCATTGATATTCCCACCAATCATTGAAATGGTTGTATGCTGGCAAAATGCATCCTTGGGCATCTGTACAATATCGAAAGATATCCTGATAGTTTTGATCGGTCTCCTTGGTTTCATTACTGGGACGTATGAAAGTATAACTTCAATCATTAAAGCGTTTAGTACGTAATAATTAGATTAGTTTGTTGTATAAATTGTTATTAGTTTTTTAAATGTACGTATATATATATATATATATATATATAGATACATATACATTCTACAATACTAGATAATAGATCATGACATTTACATTGAAATTCTCTAGATTATTGTTAATAATAATATTATTTATTAGTAAATTTTCTTAAATGAATCGTATAAAAAAATCTATACATTATATTCATTATATTTGAAATTCTTTATTTAATATATTATTTGCGTTCGGATTTAGAAAAAAATACTTGTTATCTGTGATTTGTTTTTGAATCGATGATTCAATTAGAATTTTTAAATTTTATAAATAGAATAACAAATCTCAAAATCGTGAAAAAGTTATAGTTATCGATTTCTATGTTAATTGTATTATTATCTATATTAAAATTGCGTCAATATCTAATGCAACACAATATCTTTTATATAGAATAATAATCTATCTATAAAGATCTTTCTCGTAAAGGAATAAAAGATTGGAGAAATTGGCTATTACGATCGAATTGTGTAATGATATATAATTAATATAATGATCATAAAATATAGCCATGTTGAAATAATATATTTCTAAAATTAAAATAATTTGAAATTTTATTAAAAAATAAGTATTATTATTAAATAATAGAATAAAAATTAAAATAGTCCGAAATTTTATTATTTCATTATAAAATATATTTTATTTATTCTATTATTATTCTATATTGTAAATGATAAAATATTTTGAAGTGAATTTACTAAATGAACTTATATTTGACAGATTATTAAACAAACAAAATTTTAAATTTCCTGAACATTAAAAATTTGCATATAATTCTTTAATTGATGAAGTTATGTGAATATTATTGTGAATATTATTAATGTTAATATTATGTGAATATTATTTTTATTATTTTTTAATATAATATAATATAAATATATTATATAATCTAATAATAAAAAAAATATTTAAAAATATTCATTTCTTATAAAATTACATTGAAATGATTAGATATTTCTATGACAAATTGCATAGTATGAAAAAGACAAAAAAAACTTAACATATGAATATTGTTATAAATAGTGCTATTTGTTTATGTCTTGAACGAGGAAATCTAGATTTATAATAAATAAAATATGATATATAGACTATTCAATGAATTTTCTGTAAAAAATATGAAACAAAAAACTGACTGTTATTTTGATGATAATTAATATAGAATGTATCATATATAACTCACAAGAATGAATGAAAGAGAAAAGAATTATAAATAAGAAAAAAATATCACTACAATGTTAAAAAAAAAGCGTTGATTGATAATCGTTATAGAATGTATCACTAATCATACTTAATCATCGTGTAATATAAAAAGACAATAGCATGAATTTTATTTGAAAATGTGATTTTTTATTGACTGGATATTGTATGGATTTTCAATTCTTAAATGATATCATTGAATCACAATAATTTATTTAATTTTAAAGTATTTAATTTAATTTTTTTAATATTTATTCTTTTTACTCTACTATATAGAATACTATATAGAATATTCTACTATACTCTCATACTATAGAAGATATTTCATTTCCTAAGTTTATTTTATAAGTATATATTTAATAACTTATATTAACCATTTTATTTTTTATTACATAGTATAGAATACAAAAAGAAATTAAATACTTTAAAATTAAATAATCTTATTTAAAATTTTGCGATTTTTTGTGATCCAAAGATCATTGATTAAAGTTTGGAAATAGATTAAATTGTTTTTGAAAGTACTCATTGTGATTTTGTATGTTATAGTTAAATTGATAGAATTGTATTATAATTGTATATGACCAATGTTTCAATTTGAAACAAGAAACGATAATTATATTTTTTTAAATATCTTTGTTTTGTACAGTAAAGTATAAATAATTAGAGAATAAGTTTAAATTCAATATCACAGCATTAATTAATTACCTCGTATTAAATAATTAATGATATCAACATATCAATTTTTATAATTATATTTCGTGCCTTATTCTCTATATTACTGATACAATTTTCTTTTCGTTGTTTAAATTAAATAAATATTAAATTAATATTAAATATTATTAATATATATTATATATATATTAATTTATATTATATATATTAATATATATAATATAAATTAATATTAAATATTA